AAGAGGTAGAAAGGTAAGTGAATTTATTTTATTAAAAAAAATAATAATAATAAAGAAAGAAAAAGATTACTCACGCCATTTCGCGATCGCCTGCGCCATTTCGCGAGCCCAAGAGCACAATTCAGAGGAAAGGTAAGTTAAGAAGAGGTAGAAAGGTAAGTTAAGAAGAGATAGAAAGGTAAGTTAAGAGGTAGAAAGGTAAGTGAATTTATTTTATTAAAAAAAATAATAATAATAAAGAAAGAAAAAGATTACTCACGCCGTTTCGCGATCGCCTGCGCCATTTCGCGAGCCCAAGAGCACAATTCAGAGGAAAGTAAGTTAAGAAGAGGTAGAAAAGGTAAGTAAATATATTTATTAAAAAAATAATAAAAAAAAAGAAATAAAAAACCTACCTACGCCATTTCGCGAACCCAAGAGCACAATCCTGAGGAAAGGTAAGTTAAGAAGAGGTAGAAAGGTAAGTTAAGGAGAGGTAAAAGGGTAAATTAAGAGGTAGTGAATTATTTTATTAAAAAATAATAATAAAGAAAGAAAAAGCCTGCGCCATTTCGCGATCGCCCTAAGCTTTATTTTTTTAAAAAAAAAAATTTTTTAAAAAAAAAAATCTATAGATCTATAATTTTGGGGTTTCACAACTATTTCGTCCCCCGTCGAAATGCTAATTTCGACCGGGGTACACTAAATTTCGTCCCCCGTAATAATTTTGACCCCCGTAAATATTTTCGTCTTTTATAATAATTTCGGGGTCAATTTTGAATTTCGGAATTCAATTTCGGAGTCATTTTAAATTAACCGGGGTCAGATTTTGGATTTTTAATTTTGGGGGCATGTATAGTTGTGATACTACTTAAAGCTCCCATAGGCCGAGCTGAGCCGAGCCTCATAAAGCTCAGGCCGAGCTGAGCCCAAAAGTCTTAGGCTCGGCTCAAGCCTGAGTTTATAAGTTAGGCTCGAGTCGAGCCGAGCCTTACTTATATAGGCTCAGCTCGGCTCGAGCCTCATAGTAGGCTCATAAACTTAACAATTCACAGACTTTTTTTAATAATGCGAATTTCTTTATTATTATTTGCTAAAATTACAAAATTTTAACTATAGATGTAGATTTTCATGTAGAACACTTTTATTTAGAGACTCAACTAAGGTTTAAAAGGTAGTTCAAAATCAGAAGAGTTAAATTTTTTTATAATAATTTTTAAAATTTAAATTAATTTATTTATTATCTTTCAATTTGAATAAAAATATTTGAAATTTGTACAGTAAATATAGTAAAGAAACTAAATTTTTAACTTTAAGGATAATTAGTATTATTTATTACATTATAATAGCAAACAAATCTTTTATGTATAATTAACATCAAATTATTTATAAACCTTTGATTATAAAAATACCAAGTATAAATAGAAATAACTAATTTAATATATTTAAACATTGCTTTTTATTCATTCTTATAATATTATTTTTACATCTTAATTTATATTATTAAATAAAAAATAATTATCAAAATTTAAAAAAAAAATTCAATTTTCTAAATTTTCTATATCTTCTAAATTTTCTATAACAATTTCTCCCAAGCCAGTTTTTAACCAGCCTTTGAGGCACATTGCTTCATGTATAGTTTCTCCTTTCAAGCTACATCTTCTTTGGGCAACCAAATCTGTTCCTCCAGAAAAAACTCTTTCAATTGGAGCACTAGTTGCAGGAATAGCTAAATAATCTTTAGCCATTTTACTAAGATAAGGGAATGGAATTTTTTCACAACTCTAAAATAAATATTATAGAATTAAATTAGTGTAAAATAATATATTTTATGTATTAATTAATTATTAATTTAATAAAAACATACCTTCCACCATTGTAATACATCCAATTCACTATCTATAACTTCTTCTCCTAAATATCTTTTTAATTCATCATTTGGTTGTGTTTTTTGTTTTTTGAAAACATGATTCAAGAGTGGATCTGGTTTATTAGGCACAACCATAGCAAGATCATTGTTTTTATAATAATTGGTCCAAGCATCAATTATTATTCTTTTTGCATCATTAATATAATACTCCTCCCAATTATTGTCAGCATAATATTGTAATTTAAGTCTAGGATCTAATACTTTAATATAATAATAAAGATACAATAAAAGATATTAATACAATAATAAATAAAATATTAACATATTAATGATGTATAAAACTAAACTTACTAGTTGCAATAATATACACATCACCATCAGTTGTAGGATAATATGATTTGATTTTTTTTTTTGCTAATCTACACACATTTTTTATTGTTTCATTTCTATTTTTATTTAATTCAGCTTCTATTTTATCTAATAAATAGTTATATACAGGTACAGAAAAAGATAATGTGGGGTATTTTTGTCCAGTTATGTAGTCACTTGCTACTTTAAAATGCTATTTAAAAAAAATAAATTAATATTGTTATCTAAATTTTTAATAAATTACAGAAATCATAAATTATATAAATTACATACCTCCAATATTTTAGATATTTCTTGAATATAATCCCATTCATCTTCAGAAAGTAGAAATTTTCTGAGGTCTCTGTCAGAGGAAGATACATTGTGAAGTGCCTATATAATTTAAAAAATTAAAAATTTTATAATTATATTTGTTAATCATTAATTTTATTGAAACGATTTTCGCGTAACGATCATCACGTGACACGTGATTCGCCAAACCCGAAATCAAAATTATTACAATTAAAGCTTTAAAATACAAACTTGCTTGAGCTTAAGAGCCCTTTCAATCATTAATTCTGTTGAATTCCACCTGGTTTTAATGTCTGGAATTAGTTGCAACAGAGGGAGACTTGCTGCTAAACATTGCTTCTGAAACTTCTCTCTTCTTAAGGGGGATGATCTTATTTTTATGACAAGTTTTCTTAACTAAAATTTAACAAAACATAAATAAAATAATGTTGAACATAAAT